CGTGTTACTTGCCCCCCCCCCCAACTTTGCATCCCCCCCAGACCTCGGCATAGCACCCCTGACGCAGGGCACCCAGCCACCAGGAGGGTTTGGGGATCTCCCATGCATTCCTCTCCCCTCACGGCACAGCACAGCCCTTGGGGAAACTGAGGCACAGAGGGGGCAGGCACAGATGGGTGCTCTCCCCACAGCCCATCACCTCTCCAAGCACCAGCAGTGATGGGTGGGGGAGCCTGGAGAAGACACAGGGCGTGTGTCTGTTTGTCTGCAAGTCTGTACGTTAGGAGGGAGTTAGAAATGCTGTTTGTGTAGGAGTGTGCCGCGTGGGCGTTGTGTGCCGAAGCTGGTGCACCGGAGCTGGTGCGCCGGCGTGCAATCCTGCCTTTGCAACAGCCGTGCACACTGTGCGTGCACATCTGGGTGTGCACATGTGCACCCACATCAGCCCCCTGCCCACATCCTGGTGCATGTGATGGCGTGTCTGCAGGGGTGGCATGGGCACACATGTCCATGCGATGCCATGTGGGCATCTCCGAATGGGACAGCATCCCCATGTGTGCAACACCATGTGTGCAGCCGGGTGTGCTCCCTGTGTGTACCCAGACACACGTGGCCCAGGGATGATGAATGGTGTTGGGGGGTGCCTATGCGTGTGCAGTGCTGCAGTCCCCCTACAACGCCATGGGGGGGCTGTACGCCCCTGGCCTTGGGTCCCGTACACCCCCAGCCATGGGTCCCCAGTTGCAGTAGAGCTGGTGCCTGGCATGGCCAAGGTTAACTCTGCTGGAGCCTGTCGGCACGGTGCGGGGAAGCTTTAATTTAATGAAGTGCAAGGCTTTTTATGGGCTTTTAATTACGTGGCGATAATTAACATTATAGGCCGCTGGGTCCCGCTGGTGCCCGCCTGCCCTGTGCCAGCTCCCGCTTGTTTGTAAATAAACCCTGGGGGCCGCATGGTGCCCAGCCCAGGGCACCCACCTCCCGCTGTGGGGAGCAAAGCCAGCCCCAGCCACCTGCCCACCCGCCGGGGTGGGGATTTGTGCACAAATTCAGGCACAACCCACTGCAAAATGTGGGGAGCAAGGCCCCCCCCCATTTCTTCCCCCCAGCAGCATCCGGCCGCCTGGGTTTTTCCAGCCCTCTGGCCGAGCAGAGCTGCCAGCTGGCAGTGCCTGGATTGGCGAGAGCGGGCACAGGCAGCAGTGCCACACTTGTCCCCCCCCCTGGAGCCCAGCCTGGCCAAGAACAGCCCCCCCCCGCGCCAGGGCTAA